TTTATAGTGTCTTGTCTTATGTTTAAGTCTTTAAGCTCTTTTGAATTTATTTTTGTGTATGGTGTGAGGGAGTGTTCTAACTTCACTGATTTACATGCAACTGTCCGGTTTTCCCACTTGCTGAAGAGACTGTCTTTTCTCCATTGTGTATTCTTGCCTTCTCTGTTGAAGATTAATTGACAGTAAGTCTATAGGTTTATTTCTGGACTCTCTATTCTGTTCTATTCATCTATATGTCTGTTCTTGTGCCAATACCATGCTATTTTGATTACTATAGCTCTTTAGTATTGTCCAAAGTCTGGGAGGGTTATTCCTCCAGCTTTGTTCTTTTTCTTCAGTAATGCTTTGGCAATTCTGGGTCTTTTGTGGTTCCATATAAATTTTAGAATTATTTGTTCTATGAAAAAATGTCCTAGGTAATTTAATAGGTGTCACAGTAAATCCGTAGATTGCTTTAGGGAGTATGGCCATTTTAACAATATTAATTCTTCCAATCCAAGAGCATGGGATATTCTTCCATTTCTCTAAGTCATCTGTAATTTCCCTAATCAATGTTTTGTAGTTCTCCACGTAGTTCACCTCTTTGGTCAGATTTATCCCTGAGTATTTTATTTTTTGGATACAATTTTAAAAGGGATTGTTTACTTTCCTTTTCTGATATTTCATTGTCAGTGTAAAGAAATGCAACTGACTTCTGTATGTTAATCTTGTATCCTGCTACCTTGCTAAGTTCTTTTGTCAGCTCTAGTAGTTTTTGTGTGGAGCCTGTAGGGTTTTCTATATATGATATAATGTCATCCACATATAGTGACAATTTTACCTCTTCTCTTCCAGTTTGGATCCCTTTTATTTCTTTTTCTTGCCTGATTGCTGCAGCTAGGACTTCTAAGGCTATGTTGAATAGAAATGGTGAGAGTAAGTATCCTTGTCTTGTTCCAGATTTTAGCAAGAAGGCTTTCAAGTTTTCTCATTGACTATTATGCTGGCTGTGGGTTTGTCATAAATAGCTTTTCCTATGTTGAGATATGTTCCCTCTATACCCACTTTGGTAAGAGTTTTTTTTTTTTTTATCATAAATGGGTGTTGAATTTTACCAAATGCTTTTTCTGCATCTATTGAGATGATCATGTGATTTGTGTCCCTTATTTTGTTGATGTGGTCTAACTGCTTCTTATACAGGCTTTCAACCAAGTCTCCTCTTTTCCCTCCCCTCACTCTTACTTTCTCAAGTACTGAGGCTTTCCTGGCCCAAATCTGATAGTTTCCAAATTTCTTCTTCCTTTTTTTTTTTTTTTTTTGCAGTGCTTAAAAAAAAGGCTTATTTTGTATATCCCAATAGGTGGAGGGGGCCACAATAGAAGTTTGCCCTCTCTGAATATGTCCTGTGGTATAGTTTTGGCTTTGAAACCACATAAATTAAAAAAATTGTAAAGCAAAATTAAAGATTTATAAAGCAATTTTATATAAAGCAAAGTAAAACAAATAAACCTAACTGTGAATTGAATTGGTGGCATAATCACACAGAGAGGATTTGTTTAAAGTAAATTTAAAACACAGTAATTGGACTGTTTATCACTAGTGGGATGTGTTTTGAGCACAAAATAATGGAGAAAAGAGAAAAAATAAAATTGTAGTAATTATACTATTATTAAGAATACTGGCATCATTATTTTGAATCCATTATACATACTATAGCATATATTTTATAGGATATATGTGTGTGTGAGCAACCACTATAGCATAAAAAAGAACATGAATCTGACCAAGCCTCTGTATATTTACTTCTCACTTACAGAAAACACAGGGGCCAGAGAAACATGAAATAACACCATGGAGATGGATGCAACTAACCAAATCCAGAATGTGGGAGAAGAAACATGACAAGACAATGACCAGTTCCTTCAATAAACCAATTGCAAAGAAAACAAAAAGGTAGGTGATACTGATGAAAAGAGATTTAAGAGACATATCAAAATCCTTTGCTATTTATTCTACTAAGTAGTGGATTCTAATTTCCTTCCTCCTAGCTGGCCTTAATGACTTGTTTGACCAATAGAATGTAAGTGATGTTCTGGGAATTCCAGATAGGTCAAAAGAGCCTGACAGGTGCCACATGGGGCCTCTTGCAATACTGTCCCTGGGATTCCTGAGCCTCCATGTAAGAAGCCTGATTACTCATAACCAGCATACTGGGTAGGGCTGCATGTGTAGGCACAGATGCCGTCATGTGAATGGTGCCATCTTGGATCCTCCAGACCAGCCACTGTCAATATCACATGGACCAGAAGGATCACCCAGCCAGTCATTGCTCAAATTATTGATGCATAATACTGTGAGATATAACAAAGTGGTTATTATTTTAAATAACTCTGTTTGGGAGTAGTTTGTTAGAAAACTATAGATAACCAGAAGGGCATCTAATATTTTAAGATGGAAATTAAGACCTATTGTTGGTAGAATCTGGTTTGCAGGAGGAAAAGATGAGAAATAAAACAAGAGATACATTTTGGAGGTTGCAAAACTTGTAAGGTAACATCATTTTATGACGAAATTCACTTTACAAATTGTGTGGTAAAACCGAGGAGTTGATTTGTTTTGAGATTTCAAAAATAGTGAATGACAAGCAATTGGTATGGGAAGAGAGATGGAGAGAGAAAAAGATGCATTTTTTTTCTCCCTTTATGAACGTACATTCCTGACATTTCTGAGGACTAAGATTGTCCTGCAGGGAATATGATTAAAGTTACAAAGAGGAAAACAAAATAAGTTAGTCAGCTTTTGATCCGGCTGCTATATTTACCCACAAGAAAGGAGACAGCTCTCAGGTGGGCTTTTGTCTAAGTAATGTCCTGAAATCCAAGTGTAAAAGAACAATATGAAATCTCAATTCTCCCAAACGGTTTGGGGCGAGTTCAGCCCTTGAATCCCTGGGGGACTTGGTTCCCAAGGAGACTAATCCCACTTGCTCAGCCTTAGGTATCAGTTCCGCAAAAGAGCTCTAGTTTGGAACTCTGCGGAGAGGCCCTAGTGCAGGCTAGAGCCGGGTCCCTTCTCCCCATAGGAAGTGAAATGGATTGATGTCAAAGCCACTTAAGTAAGCATGCTCACTCAGGGTATAGGAGGGGTGGATGGGCCCGGTAGGAGCTGGCCACTCACTTTTTGCTGAAACTCATTTTATGGGACAGAAAGCAGATCAAGGGGAAAGCAACTGAGACCATGAGATGGGGTCCACGTGTACAATTTAGTTGCATATTGGAAGCTCTAAGGATTTATCTTGGTCTCAGGTATAGAAAGATTTCAAGCCGAAGCTGTTCTTTGTTGCCTTCTTATCTATAGTTTTCCATAGACACCAGTGTTTTCATGTGATCATACCTCTGCCTGGTCGTTCCCAGGGATACTGCTTGTTTGCTTGGCACACTCAAATATATCCTCTAAGTCTTAGCTCAGATGCTACCTGTTTATGCAGGCTTTCCCAGCTCCTCTGGGCAGACTTGAGAGTCTTTTAGCCCATTAGCTATTGTACCTTTAATTTACTTCCATTTAGAAATATTACATTTTGTCACCATGGCTTGTTGGCATATCTGTCTTTCCACTAAAGAGGGTAGGAATCATGACTTCTTCCCTCTGTATCCATAGAACTAACAGAGTGCTGAGCACATTGTTGGTGTCAGTATCTTTTGGTTGAATGAATAAGTGACTGGATGGATATTTTATGTGTAAGGATCACTTTTGTGAATCAGTCTATAGAACTTTTAAGCCATGAATATCTTATATTTGTATATAGAGCTTTATGGCTGACAAAGAACTTTCATTTTCATTATCTCATTGATTTTCACAATAGCCGTATCAAATAGACTCACGTGATTATTCCTACTTTATAGATGGAAATATTGAGCTACAGGAGGTTAAGTGAATTTTTATAGTCAGGTGGATAATGAAAGGGTAGATTGAACTCCAGTCTCAATCTCTGTTCCAATTTGAGCACTCTCTCTGTGCTATTATACTGCCTTTTTCTAAGTTTCTACAACCTGCAAGTATAACTACTCTCTTGCATTTGGAAACAGTCATTCACTTTGTTGGGGGAAAGAACAAATGATGCTGATTTTAGAGGGTATGTGTTGGTAAGAAATGGGTGGGGCCTAAGGAATAAAGAACAGGGACATTTGTTGAGCTGCTATTTTGAGCCAGGAGCTTTCATATATACACCATCTCACAGCACCCCTGTGAGATGAGATGATCTCCATTGCACAGATAAAATAAGCAAGACTCAGAGGTAGTATTTGCCTATTAGGTTATGTAATTCTCACAAAGACTCTGAGAACAGTTAGGACCATTCCCACTTTTCAGATGAGGAAACTGAGCCTTAGGAAGACAGACTGACTTGTCCAAGGGTACTCACCTAGCAATTTGCAGTCCAGAATTTGAACTTGTCCTCCTCTAACTCCAAATCAACTTTGATGCTCAGAACACCAATGATCTGGAGATAGAGACATTTACATATAAATCTTTTCATATTCCATTTTTTAATATGATTTTGTAAGGACTTAGCTAATTCCCTGCGGATTAAGAGAGATTTTTCTTTTCAGACTAAAGATGTCAATTAAATGTATTGTCCTATGAAATCTATGTCTGGGGATTTGTAAGAGTTGCTCAGTTGAAAGAAGGTTTAAAAAAAGAATTAGTGCCTTTGGCTGCCAGACCTGGAGGTCTATGGAATAGTCCTGCCAAAAGGGAAAGGAAAATGCTGATGTCCACATCCAAGGGGAGAAACACAACTTAGTGACAAGCCCACGCAATTTTCTGAGTGCAGGTTCACCAACAATAAAATAGTCCAATCATGGAGGACAAAATCCTGTGTGTAACTCAAATGAAAGGTACATTATAATTGAGCCAACTTGAGTTAAAAAAAAAAGTTTATTTCAGTGTCAGCTTGAGGAAAGTATTTCATCTCCCAGATGAAGAGTGTTCATCTGCCCCGTTCTTCTTTGGTAAGGCTGTGCCTTCAGGGTGCTCAAAAATGGTTTTGCATTCTGAAAAATGCGGCTTAAAGAAGAGTTTTGAAAGAGATGGTCTTTATCTTCCCCGTGTAGACTCTACACCTAAACTATAGTAACTCATTTAGAGAACACTTTATCACACACACAGCATCTTCATATATGTGACCTCACTTAATCCTCATGAACATCCTGTGATTGAGATGCTCTATTGCATGTTAGGTGATCATGTAAGGAAACAGAGTCACCGTCTTGTGCTTTTAGAGAAATAAGGGCAGATACTCATCACAAGTGCCCTGTGAGGTGGGCAAGCTTACCTGCATTCAACACAAGTAAGCTAAGACAGAGAGAGGTCAGCTGTTTTGCCCAAAGCTATGTACTCATCAAAGCAAGGATTTCAGCCTATCGAAAAGCTATAGAGTGGTGAGGCTGAGACCAGAACCCAAGTCTTCTGAATTAGCCTCCATGCTCTACCACATTACTCATTTTCTCCATCTCAAGGAGCCCAGGTGGAACTGAGTTTAAATGAACTTCAAAGTGATTCTTAAAATGCAGCAGAAGTTCCAAAAGGACAACCTAAATAGCATCACAGGTAGGGGAAAGGTTCCAATCCATATTTTGTCCTAATATGCTGAGAGTTTTATACACACACACATACAGGGCTGTCTCTCAAATTCCAGGTAGCTTAGTGGCCACTGCCTCCCTTGCCTGTCTGTCTACTGCTAATAAAAGATGGGTCAAGTACTGGCCTCAATTTGCTATAAACTGTTACCTGTAACAATGAAGGGATCGAAGGAAAAACACCAGACTTGACAGTCCTACAGAAACTTGAGTTAGAATCTTAGGACCAAGGCTAGAGCTTGAAGAGACATTAGTTTCCTTCCCCCATCTGATAGATGAACATCCCGAGGCCAGAGAACAATTTTGTCAAGGGCTTAGGAACGGCTTTGGAGTCAGACTGGACAGGAGATAGCCTTGGCCAACTCACTGAATCTCTGAGGCTCAGTTTCCGTATTTGTTAGATGGTGATAATAATAAGTACTTCACAGGAGTATTGTTTAAAGATTAAATGAGGAAATGCATGGCCAGTGCTTGGCAATAAGCAAGCTCCCAGTAGCTGATGGCTATTATTGTTACCAGAGCTAGTACTGAAACCGACGTGTCTGGATTCTGGCCTTCTCAACCTCCGGTGGGTTGGGTTCCCTAAGCCAGGGTGAGACTGTACAGGAGCTGGAGATTGAGGACCTTCTCACGTCTTGCTGTCGCAGCTAGCCAAGAGAAACGCGCGGGGCAAAGGGAAACTAAGGGGTTAAGGCGATGAGCTTGAGAAAGCCCTGAAAACGAAAAACGCGACCCCCCACCCCCGGCTTAGCCCCGCTAAGTAAGCCCCTCCCCTCCGCCACCGGGGCGGCAGCCGCGCGTTCCCTCCCTCCGCCCCTCGCTTACAAGACCTAATGAGCTCCCCCGGGAGGCCGAGCAGCAAGCCCGGCCCTGAGTCGGAGA